AAAGTGAGTCATTATGATATACTTGAAAGCATTATATTTTCACGCGTTCCATCTCATGCTTTCAGTTAGTGATTGCCGTGAAGCATCTCAAGGTGGAGATTCAGCGGATAGTCAAGCAGATCAAAGAGCAAATAAATTTGGACGAGATGGAGGTAATTGCAGAGCTCAATATCTATGCAAAGCTAACTGTAAATACAATCCTCAAACGAAGACTTGTCGAAGAGAAAATTGTCCTTAATAAATGAATTTTTTTGTTTTTTTTTCATCTTATTTTACTAAGGTATGAAAGCACATCGAACGATTATTCTCAATCCCTTCGAATGATCATCTCGATTTTGTGTCAGAAAATAATTAATAAAAGCTTGATGAAAGCAAAGTACGAGTAAAAAGATCTTTTATTCAAAATAAATTATATTCAAGCTTCGAAAAGTTTCAAGTTCTGTCATTTACTGACTAAACAACGAATGAAAATGATTAAATATCAAATCAACACAACTCTTGGAGTATCTGTATTGCGTCAGATTTGTTCTACATTTTCCATTTCTTTGCTTCTTCGATAGGTTAAAGGTTTCAACGAAGGCATGGAAAATTACATTTCCCGTGAAAACATTCAGCGATATAGTTTTCTGTCTTGGTTATCTAGAGCGAATAACTCTAGAAAAAAAAAACATGATTTTTAAAAAGAGAAAGAGCTTCAGTTTTCAATGAATATCGATTAAAGATAACCACGTGAATCATTTTTATTTTTTGTCTGAGAACTTTGATATGGTTTTATGAGTTCAATCAATCAGAAATTCATTGTAAAAATCTAGAACAGATTACGTAGTTCGTATATAAATCTTTTCTTTTTTTTTTTTTTTTACAAAATCTATGGCTTGTAACATAGAAGATATGTGAGATAATGCATTAGCAGTTGTGTTCATTACACTATAGAACATCGTCATAGATATTCTTTTCAATAAATAATGATCGCAGAAGTCATGATATGGTTGCTGACACGCAGTAATACAGCGTCATTTTATTTTGATTATTGATTTTGTTTTCTTCCTATTCGAAGTTGAAAGAAAACAAGTTGCTGCTAATAGACAACAGAATTTGCCATTTTCCAAACAACAGAAGAAAAGTGTACTTCAATCAACTTTTTTTTCACTCTATGTGGGTAACTCGTATTATCTTTGACGAACAACTTATTCCTAACTTTATGAAAAAGTTCTTTGAAGTTGTGAAACTATGAACTGCGAATAGAACAGTTTTATACAGATGCCCTTTCTGCATACGTAAACACATTTCCTAACAATCTCGATATGTGAATCGTTGTACCTATCTCCTTGAATATATCATCCATGCTTCGTTTTTGAAATGTAATCCTCTCCGGCAATATTCACAATTCGTTTACCAATTGAATCGTTTAGGATGATAGATAAAACACTTTTCTGTGTATCAACAAAAAGATTATGTATGGGCTGGGATTAGTTACAGAAGAGTTCTAAGAAAAAAGAAAGAATTTTATTTAGGCAGATTTGAAATTGAAGATTTCTATCATCTGTTGCTAGATTCGGTAAGCAAATCAATTAGCTTATCTGTATTGCCTCAAAATTATTTGAATAAATTATTCCAATTTGTACAGAATAACATGACGAATCTATTGACACTGTATGACATGGTCAAGATTGATTGTAATGAATAATAATTTTGAAAATTCCGCAATTGGCATTAGTTACACATAAAACAACTATTGAAGAAATAAATGATGCTATTGAGAGAACATTTTCGGTTCCTTGTCGTCATATTGATTTGTGCTTGGATTTATCAAAATGAAATAGCTATCTATTTTTGACAAGTAAACTTTGGTATTCATTTCATAAATTTGAATATATACCGTCAATGTGGTTCAATGATAACAAATGATTTTTAATGCCAATATGAATTTGTTCACACGCACACACAACGTTATCAAATTGGAAAACAAGATATCGAACATAAAATGCCTCACTATTTAACTTTTTGAGTGACAATGAACTTTTAATCATTAGAAGATAGTGTCGATCCGCATATCGTTTTTGTTTTTGAATCCAAATCAGAATTTATAATTTCAATAAAATCTATCGAATCAGATAATGAAATGTTTCTAAGTATCTAATCGCTTTCTTCACCAAATCTAGTGGACTACAGGTAATCAACCATGATGATGTCGATACAATTTGAATGAATCAAATAAGTTTTAAAAAAAACTTTTTCTCTCTAGAAAAAACTGACTTTTCAGAAATGATTTCAAATTTTACTTTTCAACGAAACGAATAGGAATGGCAAACATTGATGAAATTTGTGATGTGTATCTAAAATTGTTTTGAATTCAAAGCCACTCTGAGTATTCAGCTGCATAGATACCTAGAGTATATTTAGCGAATCCTACAGAGGAATGAAGGTCGAAAATAGCATGATTGAAGAATAATCATTATCTCGATCTTTTTCTTATTTATTGATCAATGAGTTTTGTCGATAAGATGATTTGAATAAGTTATTTGTTTCTTTTTTTCTCCTAAAGAATAAAAATGAAGAAAATGAAAAACAATGAAATTCTTAGTTGATGAAGAATTTTGTAAAAAAGCTTTTCTTGAAGCCTATGATCTATTAGGTTGTGTTGCTTATTTTTATCAAATTAGTTTATTATTTCTCAATTGAAAAATAAAAATCGAAATATAATTTGTATTGTTAAATCAACGAATCATCAACAAATTAAAGAGAATAAACTCAAATTAGATAAAGAAGTTGTTAAGAAAATACACAATGAAATAAAACTTAGATTTTGCTATCATATAATGGAATATGAAATGTATTTACAAGAGCATTCGTTTCAATATTGGAAAGATTTTCTTACATCAAAACAATAGACAAAGAATCGAAATTTTATTCAAATAAAATACTAACAAAGGCTAATTGCTTTTTTTTCTATTATTGACACAATCAAAATCTTTATTAAAATACCATAGATTTATAAATATGGAAAAAGATTTTTGTTTTCGAGAGAAAATTCATCAAATCAGTTTGTCAAGAGAGAATTTTTATTTTAATCATAAAGATTCATTTCATTTGTAAAGAAAAAAAAAGTTCATTCAGGCCTATTCGAAAGAACCTCTATACTTGAGTCCTTTCCTTTTGGTATAATATGTTTCAAAAGGATTGTCAGCTGAGTCCACACGATACAGAGAGGATTTGTGGGCAAGTATATGCCTCCCAATTGAAGATAATTTCAGCTCTTGCGCGCTTAGAACGTGAACATTTTCTTACACTCCACTCTATCACGTTAGTACTTGTTGGAATGTGCTTGCCCTCTTACTTTTGCTGCCCATCGCTTTGCCCGTGAGAACGAAAAAAAAACAGAATTAATTCAATGGTTTCCAGTCAAGTTACATAGTGGAAGTTCACGTCAGCATACATAATTTCTTTAGTTGAATTTATGAAGCAAATAATCTAATCAGTCACCCGAATCTTAAAAGTATCAATTGCAATTCATCAGTGTGCAAAGAAGTATTTTTTAATTTTGCTCCCTTAGTTATTACAGTACGAGTACACAACGGTCCCAATGATGATTGTCCTTCATCCCCTATTTTTCGTTGTTATTCTTACTCGCAATACTTAGACAATCAAATTTTGAAACAAAAACTCGCTCAATTTAATAAAATTCAAAAAGAATAATGAATCATCTTCGTACACGAATATGCTCCAAAAACAATTGAAACTGCACTCGAAAACAACTGATATATTTTTACGCTGAATTTCAAAAATGAATAAATTGATAGCTACTCTCGGAAAAAAAACAATACGTTTCGATTGTTGTAGGTGCATGTGGTATGGTAACATGTGCCAGTGTTCCAAACCGTTGTAGAGATTAGTATCTGTCCTCCTGATATGTTATTCAATAGTGCGATAAACGTGTGTAATCTATCGACTAATGTCAACTGCGTGGCATCGGTCTGATAGAACGGTCGATATTTGTTGATTGAAAAATGATTACTATATGTGTATAGACACATTGTGACTTTCACTCACTTCTGTATTTTTATGGTAAACATTTTTTTTAGTTGAATTTCATGTCACAAGTTCAGATCGATCAATAGTTGTTTCTTCATTTTTGTCTGTCATTGACAGAAATTAATATCGACAGCATTTGCATATCAGAAAAGTTTTTTGTTCATAAAATTCAAATACAATATCGAACATTGCTACCAACTCATATCACTATAAGAAAGTGTTTATTATGATCGACAAGAGTTTTTTTTTTCGGTGCTTCCAACTAAGTAAATGAAAAACAAAATATTATTTTCATAAACCAGATATATTACAAATTATGACTGCACTTTACTTTCATAATTCAGTTGACACATCCAAAAAAAACATCAAATTTGTTCTGTTTTTGTTGAAAAGATCCGTATATATTTGTCTAATGTATTTATAAAAGAGAAAAATCAGAAAATATTTATTTTTTATTGCATAAGTTTGGAAAGTATGATATTTAAAATTACATTTCTGATTACTACAGAGTGATTAATTTCTTTTCTCTGTAAGAAAAAGTCTTAGATTCGAAAAATGTATCTATGTTTTACTGCCAAAGCTAATCAAAATGCAGATTAAAATCTCGACTAGTGAGATTTTTCCCGATTGGACATTCAGAGCATGACACGATTTTGTTATCTAGCTCTAAACTGCTTTGTTTTTTTATGCTGCGAATCCAGTCAGTCAGATATATCCCGTATTTTATTCTTAATCTTATCCAAACACAAGTCTCATTGAAAAAAAACGCACCCAATCATTTTTTTGCCTTATCTAAGCTACAGTCTCGGCCATTCAAAACTTCCTTGATTTCAGAGTAACCAATTAATATTTTTGGATAGTCTTTTCACTTAGAGTTGGTAGAAAAAAAATTGCGTATAGCCAATATATTGAGGATTGGAATTAGAAACCTATCAAATAATGAAGAATATCGTGAAATTATAATATTCAATTCTCAAAAGAGAAGACTGTCTTTTCACATTTTCTATTAATCTGACTAGAGCCATATCCAATCGTGTTCGGAAATAACGTTTTAAAAACATGTCTCGATCTCTGTCATCTTAACTCTTGCTAAAGAATTGAACTTGTATCGAACATGTCATTTAATAAATGTTTAAGAATTGAAAAAATTTGGGAATTCTTTATTTTCTGTACAAATTTCTATTTTGAACGATGTATTTTTAATTGCACTAACACAAATGAAAATAATTGTGCAGTCGTCTTACTTCATCTGAAGCGCAAACCATCTATATGCCAACTCCTCTGATGTGCATATAGCGGATACTAATCACAGTAATCGCCTTTTAAGTTTGTGACTGAACAATTTTTGCATGGCATGAGTTTGCAGGTGTGGATTTTCTTTTCATTTATTCCCAGAAATTCATACTGACACCCACACCTTCTAGTGAACCAGATTTCTAATAGATATTTTTGATTGTCAACTAAGATGAAAATGCTTGCTCATGATGAAATAAAATTATTAACGTGAACCATAAATAAAAGTCCATTGTATTTGACATGTTATCTGATAAAATAAAACCAAAATCACGTTTATTACGAAATCAGTTTATTTTTGCAATGTATCCATAAATTTTGGTATTATTTTTGATAGCAATGATTATTTAAGTGAAAGACGATAACGTACAGAAAGAAAGGAGACACCTACGTGTGTTCTTCTTTGTGACAGTAAGAAAAAAAAATTCTTCGGTTAAAAAAGCCTTCAACGAAAAAGAAAATTGTGCAATAGAGCACACAAAATAAATGAGAACAAGAACGAGACATGCCGACAATCGAGCTATATAATCATTCGTGCTGATAAAATTCCATTACAATCAAATATTAAAGTCAAGCATATTTTCAAAACAATTCAAAAAAAAGATTAAAAATCATCAACTTTATTTTGATATTTTATCAAAATTTGTTGATCTGAGTTAAATTTTAATTTGGCGAAAACAACTAATGATTGATAATAACAGTGAAAGATCAATAACTCTCGAATTCAATAAAAATGATGAAATCAATAGGGTTCAAGCTTCAACTCTAACATTCAAATCAATTAATTATTACTTAAATATACAAAAATGCTGCAATATATGTCAACTACCATGTTTAAAGAAAACTCAAAAACAAATTTTAATTGATTTATCAGGAATTTTTCAAGGAGGCATGAATGCAATTATGGGACCAACTGGTAGTGGAAAATCATCGCTATTAGATTTATTAGCTGATCGAAAAGATCGGCAAGGTTTTCAAGGTGAAATTCTTTTAAATGGTCAATTACAAAGTAAAGATTATAAATATCATGCTGGTTACGTTGTTCAAGATGATATTGTTAGTGGAAATTTAACTATTAAAGAAAATTTAATGTTTTCAGCTAATGTTAGATTATCAACAAAATTAACTTCTAATGAAAAAAATAAGATTGTCGATGAAGTTATTGTACAATTAGGATTAGAAAAATGTGCAAATACAAGAATAGGTACTGATTTTAAACGTGGTGTATCAGGTGGAGAACGAAAACGAACAAATATTGGAATGGAATTAGTTCTTTCACCTATGGTTCTCTTTTTAGATGAACCAACTACTGGTAAATATTTTTGTTTGTTTCAAAAATTATTTCAAATTTTTATGTTTCCATTAAAAAGGTCTTGATTCTTCGATGGCTCGTAATGTAATGGAATGTCTTCATCGATTATCTCGAAAAGGACGTAAGATATTCTTTAATTTTGAAAATATTTTATTTGTTTCTGAAATATAAATAAAGGTACAATCATTTTTTCAATTCATCAACCTCGATATTCAATATTTAAATTATTCGATACACTTTTTTTGATTGCTACTGGTCGTTGTATTTATCATGGACCAACTGATAATGTTTTACAATTTTTTTCTTCAGTAGGTTTTTCATGTGAAGAACATGATAATCCAGCAGATTTTATTCTTGATGTATTACAAAGTGATCGATTTTCACCCTTAACTAATGATCAAACTGATAATGATTTAGATAAACAAAATAATCAAATTGAATTTTATTTAAATAAAGAATATATGAAAACAGATATTTTTAGTTCAATTCAAAATAAAATAACTGAAAAGAATTATTTATCAAATGGAAATAATAATGAACATATTCGATTAGAAGAAAAATCTCGTTTAAATCATATATTTTATTTATCTCAACGAACTCTTCGTAATTCTTTCCGAGATCCTTCATTAGCTATACTACAAACAGTTTTATCGATATTTTTGGGTATAATTATTGGTTTAATTTATTTGCATATTAATCGTACAATTGATACAGGTGCTAAAAATCGTAGTGGAGCTATTTTTTTTATAGTTACGAATCAAGTTTTTTCAAATCTTTCAGCATTAGAATTATTTATAAAAGAACGAATTTTATTTGTTCATGAAAATGTTAGTGGTTATTATCATGTATTAACTTATTTTCTATCAAAAATAATTTGTGATATTATACCTTTACGAACAATACCTGCTATTGCATTTTCAATAATTGTTTATTTTATGATGGGATTTCAAAGAACAGTAGAAAAATTTTTTATTTTCTTCTTTTGTATTTGGCTTACATCAATTTGTGCATCATCTTTATGCTTTCTTGTTTCGGCTACTGTACGAAATTTCGGTAATATTTTTTAAATAATTTCATTGAAAATTTTTAATTTGATATAATTTAATTTAGGTGTTGCCAATTTAGTTGCAGCTCTTTTTTGTGTATTGACACTTGTCTTTGGTGGATTTCTTGTTGAAATTTCATCTGTTCTCAGTTTTCTTCAATGGATTCAATATTTCAGTATATTTCGTTATGGATCAAATGCACTTTTAATCAATGAATTTATTGGTTTAACTCTTTGTTTACCAAATAATACAAATATATGTGTAAAAGATGGTACAGAAGTCTTAACTGAACTTCATGTTGAACATTCAACAAATTGGGATTTATGGAAAAATTTCGTTGCATTAATTTCGATCACAATCGGTTTTCTCAGTTTAGCTTATGTTCAATTACGTCGTATTAAAAATAAATAAATAAATTCAACTAAAATATTTTTATTGTATTTGTTTATTAACAATGGACTCTTTTTCTTAACTGATGTACACAGAAATCTTTTTGCATTTGAATGAATTTGATTTTCAGTAATTTTCATTTACAAAAAAATAATGAATAAATATCGACAGTGGCGAAAACAGTTTTGTTTTTTATTGTGCTATTTCATTTAATCAAATATCACTTCGGATCATATTATCGTATAGCTTGCTTGCGTCTCAACTATTATCAAGCATAAATATGTATACTCATACAAGTGTACATGCATACGACTGTAGGTAGGACATATGTGGATGAAATTTTCGATCTGACGAACTGTTTGAGCAGCTTTTTTGGTTGGAACTGATCTTTTCAACAGTTCATTAGCGCGTTTGATCTGAGGTCATGAACTCGAGGGTGTGATTTTGGGTGCTTACAGATAATAATCTCACCCACACCCACATTAACCAAGTTACAAGTCATACTCCCAACCGAACGCACGATTGGTCAGCTTATCTACCAAACGATTGAGTAAAATCGGCATCGAAAGAGCAAAGATCAAGGATATTGTTAAAACCGTAGCATGGATGTTGATTGAATTCCGTTTTTTTGTATGGTTTTTAGAAAAATAAAATTTTTAGAAACGATGTATTACGAGAGATATGTTCACTAAGAGCGTGTGAGTGGATGGTTATGCTTCTGTCTATGAAACCTACACTGACACCATTTAATACGACGCCTTCTTACAGATCTTTCTTTTACTACAACCACTCCCTCCGGGTAAGGTCTTGTGGTCAATATCACAAAATAAATCCTGAGCTGAAACTTCAGAAAATACTATGGAGATCATCCTGATACTTTCTGTAATAAATCCTCATTTTTAGAATCTCGAAGATATCTTGAGAAAATCCTCACTGTGTATTGATAAATCTTCTCTTCTAGAGAATTGGAACACATCCTTGCAAACGCGAAACTCTAATTTTATTTAGAAAAAGAGAAAAACTTCCATTGTTTTTTGACAAATGTTTCGTCAACGAGCCCCCTTTTCTCTTATGAAATAATCGTAGTGATAATAAGATTTTATTATGAACATTGAATTCGAACGTATATTCAATTTTGAACTAATGAACTGTATTTTCTTCTTCAGATAAATAAGGCTCAGAAAAATGACGATCATTGAAAGAAGTTCATTACAGATGTAATCAATAATATTTTATGAAAATTTTTGGTAATATTGAATATATCAGCTTACATGCTTAATGTATTTTCACAAGTCGTTAAAAATTATCTTTATTAATAATGAAACACACATTCGAATTTAGAAACACGTTTAAGTGCATTAAATTTGTAACGAGATTTTCAGGTCACATGGTTTCCTTAAAGTGGCGGATATTTTTACATGACTAAAGAAAAAAAACAAGGCTTCCAAAGAAAACAAAATGATAATCTTTTTTACAGAATATCTACAAAAAAAAGACCTTTCAAGGTCATTTAACAATTGGTTAAAAATATATCACAAGAATGCTGTGTTTGATTTCTTACTCCTTCATGAATTACTTCATTAAAAAATATATTCGTTTTTCTTCCGCTAACTTCCTTCTTCTCTTCATTTTGCAATTAGAAAAAACACATAATCATGATTGTAACGACATTGATATCACCACTTGTTTAATTTCCTTGTTTCGTCATTATCTTATTTCTTTTTTGCTCTCTTCTATATAAGTACGTGCTGAATATGATGCAATTATTTTTCGAATGGTGAAGTACCATAATAAACATCATTAAACAGGTTGGTGGTAAGCTACTCATCTGATTTGTCATTATAATGATCGCATTACATTTTTTGAAGGCCGACCGTTAATCTATGAAAAATAATGGTGCAGTTTAAAGAACGACAGAGAAAACACTCTTTTCTTTTTAAGAATGATGCTGGATCGTCTGAAATATGTTTTTTACGTCGAAAAATCCATTCCTAGGTATTTCCTCTAGAGAATGTCAAAAGAAAACAATCTCTATTGAAGAGAATTCTATTATGACCGTTCCATTAGTTTTTGGAACGATTCAGAAATTTATAACAAGATATTTTTCTAGTCACTAATATGTAGAAATTGTTCAATAACAATATTAAATCATAGTAATTAATCATTTTTCTAAAATCTTTCTACTAAATTATTGTCTGTTCAATTCTACATCTCATGGCGCATGTTCGAACGTCGCTTGTTTTTTCAATCACGATAAAATCATCAAAATATTAAGTATCTTCAATTTTTGTCTAATAGAGAAAAGTTAAAGTTTCCTGTGTTTCTTGACGCTACAAATCATTTGATCAAGAATTTATGGTGTGTATAGGCATTGACTATAAGTTTTTATCTCCTTTCTTTTCATAGACAACACTGAAGTAAAAAATGTCTTAAACTTTTGTGGTCCACTCTACGTTACATGGTAGACCCGTTAGAAACAAAATAATTTATCATTTCTGCTCTCTTACTATTGTCTTTTTGCCACCTTTTCCCCAGTCAGTAGGGTCTGCAGTCTGTTTCTTTTTCTTCTCGTCTATTTGTTCGATTTGTATGCATGAGGGATTCTAAATGCATGTCTAGGTAGTTATTCCGTTTCATGTTGCGAATGACAAGCGCAAAATACTCTAATGACAATATGAATAGTCTTACAGGGCAGAATCTCGCAACTGAAACTTCCTCTGACATTTCTCTTTGAAAGAAAAAAGCTGACAAGCGTAACTAGTTATTTTTTAGTTATTTACATTTTATTATTACTTTTGTATTAGTAATATCCACTTGTGCCTTATGATTCGATGAACGTGCTAAATAATTTGGCATTATCCTAAGCTTATTCAAATTTATGCAATTAAGACAATTGATTGTACGTAGTGCAGTATTTATATTTCCATTACAACTATTTTGAAAGTTAGAAAAATAGGTTAATTCAAGATGAAATACATTTATTTACAAATTATTCTTATTATAATTATAGTAATTATTTCTTCTACAGTTCATATAGAAAGCTCTTTCACAATGAGAAAATTGATAAACAGGGCTATGTTGACTTTTGCTTCTACTAAAAACAGCACATCTTGTTTTTTGCTTGCCAAGAATTGGAAGATGCGGTTCCTTGTCATATAATGTATCATATGCCTATTTCTTTCCTGATGACCTGTTTCTTTTTCAGTTAGAATTTAGTGAGGGTGACGTTCGTTTTTCAATTTGTTCTTCTTGAATCAATGCCGTGGTGATCAATGACACAAAATATAAATATGACAAATTCGAATCAGTCTGACTTTCAAATATGATAAATGCATTAGAACGTGTAGCATTCAAAAAATTAAAGAAAATTCAAAACCATAATCTTCTGAACTTCCAATCTTATGAATAGTTTGCTTTTCGCTGACCAACTGTGCTCACACATTTTATATAATTTTTTTAATCAGTTATAGATGTTGGACACTTTACGCTTGATCACTCACCACTTTTTTCTTTTCATCTAAATGATATTGTAAGAATCTATGGGTCCTGTAAATTCGATAATAGAGAAAAATAAATTTCTAGCCATCCATTTATACAACGTTAAATTTTTTATGTGATATTTTTATATTTCCCACGCATTGTTTTCCTCATATGTTCACAAAACTCTTTTGACAATATTTTCTGAGAGTTCCATACATTCCAGCAGTATTAATTCCTCATTTATACAGATATTCCAGTGAATCAGAAATTGTGAACTAATTATCGAGATACAATTGGCTATTAGCAATGCAGGTTCTACGCTGCTACAGTTATCTATTATTTGGCTGAGATCAATATCATCCAATTATAACAATGTCTTCGTTTTTCATAATATTTCTAAGATAATGTATTGTCAATCATCCACAAATTTATCATATTTTCTCCCTGAATTGATATCGTTTCGTTTTTGCCAGTTATTCAAAAATTAATATACCTAAAAATGTCTTTTATTCAGGACATTGGTATTTAAAGGGTTAATCTTCTTCTGTCTGATGTATCAGCCACTATTTAAATCAGTCATTCATTCTCCTCATCAGAACGTCGTCTTCTATCGAGAGAAGCATTGCCGAGATAGTTAAAATGTAACGATTTCACATCGGAAATCTGTTGTTCGACAGTTGCTTCAGCTCAGGACCTATTAAATTGCGAAAAACAATAAAATTCATTATTGCTTTTTGTTTTTTGTCCAGTTTCATCTCACAGATTTACTTATTATCCATTTCTGAAAATAAGTCGCTTGGGCAGAATTCTTATAACTTTTAAAAGGAAAATGATAGAGACCTGGGATTGTCACCGTTGAATAGAGGACATCAGGGCACGTAAGGCTATGTAAAAAAAGATCTGTTATACAAGGTACGTGTTTATAACTTTTTAATAAATTTGTCGAAAACCGCTAAAATAAGCTTCAAATTTAGAAATCT